TATATATATATAAACAAATTTTTATTTTGACTGTCCATTATCATCCGCGTGCATACGGTTTACGTATACAGAGTGTTCAGTAAGTCAGGAAACGGGTATCTATTGTTCTCATTGTTACAAACAATGAGAACAATAGAAACCCGTTTCCTGACTTACTGAACACCCTGTATATTCCTACCGCCGTTTATGCCTCAGGTATAACGTTAGTCCGACCCGCCCGCCCACAAAACACGACTCTACCTAATGCATGATACGTTTACGTACTTAAGTCGCTTTACATGTATATATATATATATATTCTAATTCNACATGTATATATATATATATATATTCTAATTCCTATTAAAAATATATATTAACACACTTTATTCTTATTTAGAGATATAGAACTCATTCATTCCGATTACAAAGGATGAATCCAGTATCATAATTTTTCGTCACTAACTCCATGTTCCGGTATTGGGTAATTTACGCGCCTGCTGCTTTCCTTGGATGTGGTAGCCGTTTCTCAGACACCCTCCCCGGAATCGATCCCTGATTTCCCGTTATCCGTTACAACCATGATATTGATAGTAACTACTATCATAACATGAAACTAAAAAGTGAAAAATAAATATATTTAAAAAAACTAAAAAAACACGCTTTTAAAGCACATCGAACTAAAAGTTAAAAATAATTTTTAAAATAAGTTTAATATAATTATGAATAAAAAATACTAGTATTATTGTGATAAAAGCGTGGGTGCTTTGTGCCATATTTTTCGTATATTGAGCGCCCGACGCTTTTATCACAATAATACTAGTATTTTTTGTTCATAATTATTTTAAACTTATTTTTAACTTTTTAGTTCGATGTGCTTTAAAAGCGTGTTTTTTTAGTTTTTTTAAACTACATTTATTTTTGGTGTCTATTACTCCACAACCTCAGCTCTTACTGAACCGATTTTGATGAACAATATGTCATAAGATCACAAATTGTATCTAGTCGAAGTGTATACCCTCAAAAATTGAAAATAATTATCTCGTTTTCCGCAAATGGGGGAAATCCTCCAAAAAATTACAATTTTAAAAATCTGTAATTTTCAACATTTTTAAAATATTTTTTTTCTTAAAACTACCATAATTTATATTGAAACTTTAGGTATTTTCCTGTCATTTGATATATTTTTGATAACATTTGACCCTTTACCTGCCCACAGAGAGGGTTTTAAAATGGAAAGATATTCACAAAAATTTAACTTTTTCAACTTAAGTTTTAAAAGTGTTCTAGAAATACTCAGACTTCAAAAATATGTTAAAATAAAGCTTATGTTATGTACTATAAATACAAAAAAATAATTTCTCCCGACGAATTATCTTCTATGAGCAAATGGTTGCCGATTTTAAAAAACATGCAATTATGGTGTTAAAATTGTACATCTAATTTTTATTTTTTTAACTTTAAATTACTATGACTTTCTGAAAAATGTATGGATCAATACAATTTTTTTTTTCATAAATACTTTAAGTTTATTTCTTTCATTTAGCAACTTTTTTTTTAAACCGGACCATTTTCCTTTATACAGGAAGGTTAAAAACTTTAAAAATACGAGTAAAAAATAGAAATTTTTCAACATAACTTTTAAAAATGTTCCGGAAATACTCCGAGATTTAAATATATGTCAAATTCAAGCTTATAATAATTACTTTAAGTTCCAAGAAAAAAATTTGTCCCGACGATTTATCTTCTACATGCAAATTACTACCGTATTTAAAAACATGCTATTTTTGTGTTCAAATTTCCGATTTTATACTTTCAAATTTAAATTGATATATATTTTTGTAAAATGTATGGATCAACATGATTTTTTTTTTTAGAAATCTATAACATGCACTCCAACATACTTTTTTTTTTAGCTCAACTTTCAAGTTTAGAATTTATATCATTAAATATAAAATTTTATGTGGAATAAAATATTCTATTTTTTAGATTCATATATGAACAGAAAGTTAAATAATTACAATTAACAGTAAATTTATAAGGAAAACTCAAAATTTCGATAAAAACGTTATAATGTATTTTTATTGTAAGAAATCATTTAAATAGAAGTCTTAGTAAGCACTTTTATGCAACTCTCGGTGTTAAAATAATTAATCATATCGAAATATGAAATATGGCCATTTGTCCATATAAGAATAAGTCTTCTATGGGCAAATGGCCATGGAATTTAACGTAAAATGTAATTTTTATGTAAAAATCTCCGTTTAACATGTTAATATTTTGATATTTAAAACTGCCACAACTTTTTGAAAAATTAATAAATCAAAATAATTTTTTTTTATTGAAAACTTAGATATTTCCCTTTAATTTGATATACATTTTTTGAAAATCTGACTTTTGACCGCCCACATGGGGGGATTCTAAAAAGCAATTTTTACAAATAAGTTAAACTTTTTTAACTTAATTTTTGAAAGTGTTCCGGAAATATTAACACTTTTATTAATATCTTAAATTAAAGCTTATTTAAAAAAAAAAAAAATTTTAGATATGGATTGTCTTCATGGTGAAAATGGCTACCCTATTAAAAAATATGCTATTTTTGTGTTAAATTCTTGGTATTGAATTTAATTTATTTTAAAATACCTTATAAGGGCAATAAATTGATTTTCATTGATATTATATAAATCTAATTAGCATAGAATATAAAGTTAAACTTATTTAAATTTTTTTTCTTCTTTTAAGTCGAAAAAGGTAACTTTAAAATTTGAATTAGCTTATATAGCCAATTTTATTGATTCGAAATCAAAGAATTCGATGAACGCTTGCCGAAATCGATGACGATCTACAGATTTGCATCGAAGCGTTTCTTATAATAGTGATTTTAATCACTGTCATATATCATCTATACTTGTCCCAACTAGGCCACACTCTTTTATTTATTTATTTTTTTTGTCTGTTACCACTTTTTCTCAGATCTCGCCGAATCGATTTTTTTCAAACTTCTAAAAATGTAAAGATTAATACAATTTTTTATAATAAATACTACTTATATACTTTTTTCATTTGACATACTTTTTTGAATTCAAATGAATTTAAATGATATTAAAAAAATCATCAACTTATTCAGTATTGTCATGATTTTATGATCAAGATTAATATTTTACGTGTTATACAATTTTACAGGAATCTTTATGGTTAAATAAGATGGTGTCTTATTTTTTGTCCTTATTATTGTTTGTACTAAGTACTAATGCATTATTGACATTTTCACCAAACATAATACCATCTTTGCCGAACACTATTTTAAATTCAAGTAATCCAAAATGTCAAAAAGACAGTATAAGACTGCAAGAAAATCTAAACACCTCTATACTATGGGCTCAACAAAGTAAGTGATTCGTTTAAAATAAATATTTAAATTGGAAGAAAGAAAATGAACAACTATACTCATTGATTCCTCATTAATAGATTAAAAGACTATTTATTAAAAAATATTATAACAGAATATATAAAACTTTTCTAACAGTTATTTAAACAACAGAAAAATAAAAAAATTCCGTGTCAAAAAATTGCTGATAGGTGTTATGCAGAATTTCTCAGATCAACTGACTATTCTTTACATTAGCGTAGATTGCATGGTGGCTATAAGGGCTTCAGCTATCATACAAACATTCGTAGTCCTCATAAATAAATTAAAATTTATTAAAAGGTGAAGGTAAAGTTATATGACAAAAAGACTTCCCATCAGATCTACTATCCAAAATTATGAAATAAAGATAAGGAATATAGTATAGCACTCGGAAATAAATTTTTCAAGCTATGCCAATACTCTCATTATATTTTTCGTTCATGATAAATATACGTATTAGGAAGGAAGGTCAGAGCAAAACGTTACAAATTAATAATTGATTGAGTACTTTGATTAATTGAATAAATGTTCAAAAAAATTATACCATTTTGTTTATCATGTTTTATATAATTATTAACATTTTTTCAAATTGTTTGATGAAATTTTCGTTTTTTTAAATAAAAATGAGGACTTTTTAAAAAATTTTAAAATAAGATATATTTTTATGATATTTTATTGTAAAATATAGACCATAAGTAAAAAAAAATTTTTAATTCCTTACATAAATACATATATATATATATATATATATTATTTATTTAATTCAAATTTTACTTGTAAGTGTTTTTTTCAACCATTAGTAAATAAGGCGACAGTATTTGACTTATAAGTTGGACATTAAAAATGAACCTATAAAAAGGATCCTTTCAATTTGAATACTCCCTAGATAACTTTATAATTTAAATGAAAATATCTAAAATTTTAAATAATAAGTAAAAAGTATGCTTTGTAGAGCCCCCCAGAGTTGCCTCAAAATATGACTTTATCAAATTTTCCGCTATTTGCCTCAAAGTTGTTTTAAATAAATTGAATTTAGATAATTTAGGCCCTTCGTTTAATTCAGACAGTAAATTTTTATTCTTAAAAGGTCAACTGGACCTTACAAAAATTCTACGTGATATTTTAATGACAATAATAAAATATATTTTATCATAGTGTGGGATGCATCAGCAAAACAAGCAGTCGGCTTATTGACTGGAAACATATATCAGTTAGGAGACTTTGACGAATGTTTACAAGTAACCAAGCCAATTCAAGCTCAATATTGTCTGATAGATATCAAAATAAATGTTCCACGAGAATATTCTCAAACGGATCCTTATACTAGAGATTATAATCCAATGCTTCCATCATGGCATAAAATTTATGTAAGCAGTATTTTTTTGTTTCAAATTACACACGTAACATGTAATAATAATTAAAAAAATTTACATTCTTTTACCCACCTACAAAGAATAGGTTTCTTAAATATTTATATTTAAGCTTAAATTTTAAAAGCTTTAATACTCTGATACGGATAGTTTGTTACTGAAGAGAGTGATGTTGGTTCTAACAACTGAGATAATCTCTCGCTTAATAAGAAAAGTAGTCTGTGACTAATTCTCGAACCCGAAACAGCGTATCAGCCATTAATGCTTTGTTTAATCAGCCATGCCATCATTAATTAATTATTCAAATTATAAAAATGTTGATATTTTGATATTAATGACTTGTTTGACAAATTGGTTATATTGTTTTCATTAAAAATGTTCAGTTACATTTTTGATAATACATGAAAAAATGGTTAAATAATTTAATGTTTTAGTATGGCGGAGCAAGGTTCAAGCAACGTTTAGATATCATTAAATGGGCGCTATGCGTTCCACAATCATGTTCTTCATTTGAAATTCAAACTTATCTCCAATCATACATAAAAGAAAATAACATAACTTCTATTGAAAATATATCAGTAAACGATAAGATGTGTACACAGACAGAACGTGCAGGAGATAAGTACGACGCTTACGACTGGACTTATTTGTACGAGTTTGTTATTTATTTAAATTTTACTAAAGGTTTTATAATTTAAATTATTGAGATGAAATTATGAACAATATCTCATCACACTAAAGTTATTGATTTTTAATTTTCTTATTTCTGTATTGCATCCATACAAAATATTTTTCATTTTTAATTGATAAATAATTTTTTAATGATTAATGAGTTTTTATCAAATATTAGTTTGATAAAATTAGTTCCTATATTCTATAAATTCAAGAAAAAAATGTAAAAGTTAAGCAATATTGTCTTGAAATACATATTTCTTAGTTCATCTTTATTTAAGATTTACTTTACTTTAACTTGTTTTATATAGTAATTAAAAACATAAAGTCATTAGAATAAGACTGTGTTCAAATAGATTATACATTAAACTAAGCTTATAATGGTTAATAGTAATAAATAATAAATATTACATTGAATCGCAATTAATTAAATTTTATAGGTTTGTCATTTTAGTACTGCTATTATTAGTTACGTTTGCAACTCTTTTTGATTTTATTGCATATTCAAAACAAGAAATATGGCAATGGAATAAAGGTAATTATTTCTTACCTTTCTTATTTTAAATCACTTAGAATTTTTAATTAATATCATTAAAACCTGAATTTAAATAATTTTAAAATTGTGACGTAACAAAAAATATCAATCAAAATGACTTTTATTATACAAATCTAAAACCAAATTTGTCTGTACAAAGTGATCAAAATTTCATGTTACATTTTTTTTTCTCAAAACTTATTGAAAATATAAATATAGTTNATTACAACAATTTTGTTAATATCCTAATAAAAGCAGCAAAAGTTTCAATCCCGCGTAAGCGTTCGAACAATATAGGTTTTAGCCATTCTCCTCCTTGGTGGAACTCAACCTGCACCACTGCAGTTAAAATGCGCTCCTTCCATTTCAAAAAATACAGATCCTCAGGTTCTCTTCATGACTATATAACATACCAAAAATCAAAATCCAACACAACCAAAATTCTAAAAAAGGAAAAAAAAAACTCTTGGTTAAATTTATGCAGCAATCTACACCCTTCAACGTCTATCTCTGAATTTTGGACCATCGCTAAAAAATTCAAAAACTGTATAAATCGTCCTTCTTCCACCACCAACAATGACTGGTTTGACGACTTTTGTAATAAGATTGCACCTCCTTACGTTCCTGCCCCTGACGAACTTGAATTACATTTTTCAGACAATTTAGCAAATAATAGTAATAATAGCTTCCTTTCCTCTCCTTTCAGTCGTTACGAACTGTCCTTTGCTATCTCTTCAAGGAAATCTGCTGCTGCTGGCTTGGATAATATTTCTCCTTTTTTTTTTAAACATCTTCCAATAAAAGCCTTTGATATTCTTTTAACTATCTTAAACAATTTATGTATTAACAATATCATTCCCGAGTCTTGGAAGCATTTCAAAGTAATTCCTATCCCTAAAAGTGGTGTTGCTACTAACGCATACCGTCCAATTGCCCTTTCATCTGCCTTCTGCAAATTAACAGAGTTTATGTTAAAAACTCGCCTGGATTGGTATCTTGAATCCAAATCTCTACTATCTCCTAATATGTTTGGTTTTCGACATGGACTGGGCACAATGGAATGTCTTTCCTCTCTTTTTGGTCCCGTGTACCATTCGTTTTGTAACCGTCAATTTACAACAGCCGTCTTTGTTGACGTTCGTGGTGCATTTGATTCTGTTAATATTCCTCTTCTTGTAACACGTCTACTCTCCATCAACATTCCTATATCAGTGTGCAAATTTATCTTTTCTTTATTTAAATGCCGCCTCCTTCACTTTAAATCGCCGTTTGGTCCATATTACCAACGTGTTACTTATAGAGGTCTTCCTCAAGGTAGCTGCCTCAGTCCTATTTTATTTAACATATATACTGTTGATATAAGTAAATCACTCACATCTAATAATTTCTCTAGTTTACTTTACGCCGATGATATAGTTATTTTCTCTTCCCATAGTTCACTCCAGGTTACTGTATCGAATATAAATAATGCACTCCAGATCCTCTCCTCTGTACTCCAGCTTTCCTATTTTGAATCTGCCCCAGAAAAAAGCAAAGCTATAATATTTACCAGAAAACACATCCTACAACACCCTTCAATTTTGCTTGATGGAGTTAGCTTATCCTTCTCTGATTGTGTTACTTACCTCGGACTCAAACTAGATCAGAAACTCCGCTGGATGCCTCACTTTAAATACCTCATCTCTTCCATATCACGCTGGTCTAATCTTCTACGTTCTATTGCAGGTACCTGGTGGGGCTCCCACCCCTCCTCACTTTTACTTATTTTTAAAGCTCTTATTCGGTCTAAAGTTGACTATGGTTCCTTTTTATACGCCTCGGCTTCCACTGTTCATCGTAAAAAAATCAATTCTCTACTCGCTGCTTGTTTACGCACAATTATAGGTGCAGTTTACTCTACCCCTAATATGAGTTTAGAAGTAGAATGTGTATGCCCTCCAATTGAAATTCGATCTCGTTACTTAGCCTATAAATTCCTTTTAAAACAGATATCCAGTCCTGCCAAGTTAATATTTCATTGTTTTCATTCACTAAGCTCACTTTGGCGATATGTACCCAAAACTCTTCCTCTACTTGCCTCAATTTCTACTACCTTGACTCCCTACCTTAATTCTATAATTACCTCAATCAATCGCCTACCTATATATGACATTCCATTTCATGCACTTACTCATTTTCCAAAAATTCACTTTAACCATCTATTTCTTTCTTATAGCAAGCCTCAATTACAATCTCTCCCAATTAATCCTGTCAATTATCTTTTTGATGAACTCATTTCCTCTCGTTTTGCTAACTACTGCCTCATTTTCACTGACGGCTCAGTTTATACTAATTCCGCCGGTTTTTCCTTTTTTATTCCTAGTCTAAACATTAATTTCTCAGATAATCTCCCCTCAAAAGCTTGTTCATTTACCACCGAATCTTATGCGATATCCTCGGCTCTCGAATTCGTCAAATCACTCAATATAATAAATGTTCTGATTGTCTCCGATTCACTGTCAGTCTTATCATCTCTTTCCTCAGTTTCTTTTAAAAAAAGTAGATCCTTCCTCACAATCAAAATTAAAGCCTTAATTTATAGTCTCTATTTAATGGACATTAATGTTGAATTTTTATGGTGCCCCAGTCATGTCGGAATATCTGGCAATGAGATAGCAGAACATCTAGCCAAACTGACTAACTCCTTCAACCGACCACCTATACTAAAAATTCCCTCTTCCGATCTCCTTTCCTCTTTTCACACAACTATTAATGAAGCATGGCAAAATAAATGGTCTAATTTTTCTTTAGCTAACTGGCATAAATCTATAGTTCCAACTATCCCTAAACGTCCTTGGTTTTATAACCTCCCTCTGTCCCGTTTCCATATTACCTCTTTTTCCCGTCTTAGATTTGGTCATAATCGGTTACCTAGTCATGCCTTTAACATGTCACTAAACCATTCCCCCTTCTGCCCTAAACACAATGATGAAGTCCCCTGTAATTTTCCTCATTTACTATTTGATTGCCCAGCTTTACAACATAACCGTTCACTCTTGTTCAATTTCCTGTCCTCACTTAATATTTCGCCCATTAATAGTTTTAATATCCTTAATACAAAATCCTCCTCAATAATTATATATATAATTTCCTTTGTTCATTCAGCTGGCTTCGTTATATAATATTTTTCTGTATGTTAATTTAATATCCTAGGTCTAATTTGTTTTTTTTTTTTAGTATTTTGAGTATGTTTAATTTATTAATCTAACGATCTGTTTAATTGTGTTTAATAACAAAAAAAATTTTTTTTTTTCTCTTCTGTATAGTCTTAGTTCTATTGTATAATCTTAGTTTATATTGTATAATTTTATTTTAATCGTTTAGCTATAATAATACTTCTGTATTGAAAGCTTTTTAAATAAAAAAAAAAAATTTAATGTGTGATTTGTATGCATATTCGCCGAAATTTGAAATTTTTTGTTATATTTGCTTCAAACTAATACATCGTTTATATTAAATTAAGTCAATATAATACTTAAAAAGTATTATTATATTTTCAAGTTATATAAAAAACTATATCTGGTATAAACTATTATTTAGAGTATTGTAATAAATTAATTATTGTTGAAATTAAAATCAAAATTGAGTATAATTATTTGTTTTATTGTTAAGTAAAACGTTTATAATTTGTGCTGATGTAGTATTACGGAATAGCAAGTTGCTGTGTTATTTGTTTTTTTCTTTCACGCGACTGTCGGTTATAATGTCATTGTCAATGCATCGTGATTTATATTATACTTTATGACAATTT